CGGCGCTCCCGCCCCCCGGCAGGCGGCCGGCGGTTCCGGCTCCCAGCGCCCTTGTAGGTACTCGGTCCAGCCGCAGCAGAGCCAGCGCCGCGCGTCGGTCATCTCCTCTAGAAACTTGGACTCTGTGCGAGGACATGTCTCGGACATGTCACGGACGTGTCCTGCACACGTCGTCTCCTCTAGGCACTTGGACGCGCCGCTGCCCGGATCGCGTCTCGTCGGCTGCACCAGCCTCAGAAGCCGCGCCGCCAGCACCTCCACCTCCGCCTCAAAGCGAGCGATGTCCGGCGGGCACCTGGGGAGACATGGGCAGACCTGGGCAGACCTTGGGAGACCTTGGGAGACCTTGGGAGACCTTGGGAGACCTGGGCAGACCTGGGGAGAGGAGACATATGGGGAGACATGGGGAGACATGGGGAGACATGGGGAGACCTGGGGAGACCTGGGGAGACCTGGGGAGACATGGGGAGACATGGGGAGAGAGCGACGTCCGGCGCGCACCGAGCCGCCCCGCCCCCAAGCCGCTCGGAGCCGGCGGCAGAGCAGCTGTCCGACAGGTAGTGCGTTCCCTCGCTGAGCAGCGCGGAGCGCTCGGCGCCAGTGGCGTCGGTCTCGAGGGTAGCCTCCCACGCCCCGGCGGCTTGCCACGCGAGGAGCCTGTGGGGTGAGTGTGGTGTGAGTACGCCAGAGGGGGGGGGGGGGAGGCGGCCTCGTGCGAGCACCGCGTGGATACAAGCTACGGCTGCAACGGAGAGAGACGGCGGAGAATCGGCCGGATACGGCTGAATGCGGCCGGATACGGCGGAGGATGCGGCTGGGTCGGAGTCGGCTGCATGCGTGGCCTCTCGAGCGCCGGCTGGAGTACGCAGGTCCGCATTCCGCTTCTAGAGGGCGGTGGGCCTCGCCCACGCGTTGGTCCGCCCAAACGCCGCCCCCTCCTCCTCCACCCACTCGGAGAGGGGCCGGCTGCTCGGCGGCCTCGCCGCCTCCTCCCCCCACAACACGTACCGAGCACGAGCATACGACTCCCGGAAGGGCAGCCCGTCCTCCTCCTCCGCCGGCCGGCCTCCGATGCCGTGCGCCCCCAGAGAGGAGGGCGGCGGCTGCGGCGACGGCTCGTCGACCGTCTTGATGATGTACCGCGTGAGGCTCACCTCCTCTGGCCGCACGCACCTAAGTTCAGCCGCCTCGGACGCGTCATCAAGAGGGTCGTCCACAGTCCGCCCCTCCCGCCGCACTCACCGCACGAACGCGCCGCCGCCGCCGCCGCCGCCGCCGCCGCCAAACCCGCCGCCGCCGCCATCGGAGCCGCGGGCGGGGAGTGCCGCGCCGCCGCCCCCCGTGCGCAAGCCGACGACAACGACGCGGCCGCCGCCGAGCGCCTCGCTGGCGACGCAAGCAACGACCATCGCCTTTGCGCCGACGATCGCCGACGGAGTCAGCAGCACGACAAGCCGGCCGACGCTCATCTGGGGGGCCTCCGTGGCGGGGGGCGCGCGGCAGAGCGCGGCGGTGTGGAACACGGCGACGACTCCGCCCATCGCAGGCGCCACGGAACGCAGCTCGTCGTGCTCTGCCGCCATACCTGCCGGTAGCAGTGGGCACCCTGTTTGCATTGTGCAGGGGTGCTGAGCGAATCAGAAATCTCCCCGCATCTCCCCGCATCTCCCACACTTGATGCCGCCACACCTCGCAGCTCTTCGGAGGTTAGGGTTAGGGCTCGGGCTCGGGTCAGGGTTAGGGTTAGGGTTAGGGTTCGGGTTCGGGTTTTAGCCACACCTCGCAGCTCTTCGGAGGTGATGCGGAGGCTGTGCAGGCCCTGGTCGAAGCTCCTCGCAACCAGCACGGCCGCGTACTGCACGCACGACAGCGTGAGAGGGTCGGCGTCGGACGCCTGGCACGCGCGCAACCACGGACACGTCAGCTCGTGCCATCTCCCCCTCGGCTCCCCTCGGCCCCCCTCGGCCCCCCTCGGCCCCCCTCGGCCCCCCTGGGCCCCCTTGGGCCCCCTTGGGCCCCCCTGGGGTCCCCTGGGGTCCCCTGGGGGCCCTTGGGCCCCCTTGGGCCCCCTTGGGCCCCCCTGGGGTCCCCTGGGGTCCCTTGGGGTCCCCTGGGCCCCCCTGGGCCCCCTTGGGCCCCCCTGGGCCCCTTTGGGCCCCTTTGGGCCCCTTTGGGCCCCTTTGGGCCCCTTTGGGGGCCCCCCCCCCCCCCCCGCTCCCCCTGGCTCCCCCCCGCCCCCCCCCCGGTTCCCCTCGGCTCCTTCCACCTGGTACACGCGCAGCCACGGCCGGCCTTCCGAGCCCGGCTCGCTCTCACCCTGGAAGGGCGGCGCGGCGTGCGCGCGGCGCAAGGCGGCGAGGAGAGCGACGGCGCCGCAGACCAGCCTCCCCTCCTCCGCCGCCTTGGCCCACATCGCGAGGAGATGCGCGTGCCTGGTGTCGGGCAGCGAGAGAGTGGTCACAGTGACCATCACCGCAAGTACGCTGGTGAGACGAGATGCGCGCGCCCCGCCGCACGCCACGCCGCCCTCTCTGGCAAAGCGAAGCCTCTCCCTGCGGCAGAGGGAGGGACGCGGCTGGCTGGGAGAGCGGACGGTGCCACTCGCCGGCGAAGCGGTGCGCCTAGAGGGAGCGAGTCAAATCCGCGTCCGAGAAGAGTCCAGGAAGGGTCCAGGCAGGGTCCGGGACGGCGTCTGTGACCCGCGGCGAGTCGAGCGCCACCGCCGGCACGCGCGAGCTGCTGCTGCTGCTGCTGCTGCTGCTGCTGCTGCGGCGGCGGCGGCGGCGGCGGCGGCGGCGGGCTGTCGAGGAGGACACGCCGCCAGAGCTCGTCCACCTAGTAGCCGATGAGTCATCGATTCACAGGTCCACGCCGAGGGAGGACTCGCCGCCAGAGCTGGTGCGCGTCGGCGGTGCGGCTCGCGTCGGGAAGGTACTCGTCAAGGAGGAGGCGGCCGCCCTCCCTCGCGGCCTCGCACACGCCCGCGTTGCAGAGCCACTGCTCGAAGGCTGCGCGGTGGGCCTGCGTGCTGAAGACGCCAATATGAGAACCGCGGGAAGACGGTATCGTGCAGAGCTCTGAGCACCGTGTGAGTACGAGAGGTACAAAGACAGTGAATACAGCGAAATACGGCCGAATACAGTTGGGTGCGTGTCCTCGCTGGTTGGAGTACAAGAGTCCGCATTCTGCTTCTAGGGCGGTGGGCCGCGTCGGGCTCGTCGAGCATCTCCCGCAGCGCGTCGAGCCCGCGGCCCCAATGGACGAGCCGCGTGATCAGCGTCTCGATGGCCAGGAAGCGCGCGCGCATGGTCCAGCGCACCGCGTGCGCGTGAAGCCGCACAAACGGCGCGAGCGCGGCGGGCAGCGGTCGCGCGATCGGCAGCGTCTCATCGAAGTGCGCACCGCCCGCGCCAGACTCGCGCAGGAAGAGGCGCAGCCTGTCCTGTGCCAGGCCCGCCATCGCCTTTGAGCAGCCGGCGACCGACCGGAGGGCAGGGGAGAGGACGGACGTCTGCTCGAGGATCAGCTGCCAGACATCTGGCCCGAGGCTCAGAGAGCACCGCCGCCGGGCGAGAGCACCCGGACGGCCGGCACTCAGACCGCGCACCTCCGCCTCAAAGTCGGCGCGGACCGCACGGCGCAACCGCCGAGCAGAGCACTCTCCGCACCACAGCGACTCCAGGTGAGCGCGTCTCTTTGCGATGTCGCGGTGCCGCATGCGCCGCCGGCGGAGCGCGAGCGGGATGTGGTACAGCAGAATGCCTGCGAAGAGAAGGAGGGCGAAGAGGACGGAGAGGCCCTCCAACGCCGCGGCCGCGTGATTGCTCTGCAGCAGTGGCCGCCGTGGGCTCCGCAGCGTGCTTGGCGCGGTGCTTCTCCACGGGAGTTGCGATTCGCGAGCGGGTGAGCCAGTTGGTTGACGACGCTGCCTCAACCACTGAGTCCATGCCCCCGGCATGTTTTGCCCACGAGAAGGCTTGTCGCGGGCGCCTGGCGCCTGCTTGTCGGAGGGATGAGGGAGGTTATACGAAAAAGAAAAACCGACGGGCCTCCCGCGGTTTCTGTATTCTTTCTTTTTACCGCATAGTGGCCGCGCTGCGCCGCTCGCTGCTGGCGCGCGGTTGATCGCCTCGTCGGCGCCAAAACAGATGCGAGCTCGCGGCGCGGCCGCGGCAAAACCTTAACTTCTCTCTTCTTCTCTTCTCGTTTCGTCTCGTCTCGTCTTGTCGCGGGCGCGCTCGCGTCACATTTGGTCGTCCCGTGTTCGCGACTTCGCCGGTACGAACCGCCTTGCCGCGATGCCTCCGCGCGGAGTTTCTCGTGCCCCCAGAGCAGTCGAGAGTGTTGTGAGGAAGTTTTGTCGTGGTGAAATTCTCCTTCTGTCGGAGGTCGGTGGTCTCGCGCGTTTTGGTGAGAAAACGCCCCGTCTCCCATTCACCAAGCTCTCCCGCGAAACCTTCACCCCGACTCGCCCGAGCGACGCTCGCGCCAGTCCTCCGGCCAGTCTCTCAAAAAGTCAAAGGTGCCGGCGGGAAGCGCCCGCCGCAGCGCCTTCCACGCCGCCACAAGCGGCGGCGCCGGGCTGAAGCTCGCGACAAAGACCACCCTCTCCCCCGCATCCACGGGCATCCCCGCGTGCATCACCATGCCTCCGAAGAGGAGCGCCGTACCTGCCGGCGGCGTCAACACAAAGGCCGGTGGGCCGTCCGCAGTGGCGGCGGCCCAAAATGCGGTGCCTCCGCCGGCAAAGGCGTCGCCACCGTCAGAGAGGGGCAGCAGGATGGTCAGACTCTGCAGGTCGCGGTGCGGAGTGAAGAAGCCGCCCGCCGTGTATACGTTGATCGCCGGCTCGCCGGTCGGCGCTCCAACCTGGCGGGAGGGTCGACAAAGGAGGTCAGGCTTGATGGTAGGATGCGCAGTATGTCACACACGTCTGCCCACCAGGGATTCGCCGGTGAAGGTGAGCCTCGGATTATCAAAGCAGCTCTCGCTGCCCGCGGCGCTGTCGCCGAGCAGCGCCGGCACCACGGCGGGGAGGAGCTCCTCGCACTTTCTCAGGCCTCGCAGCAGCAGCTGGTCGCACAGCCGCCGGCCCTCGGGCCCGAGAACCACCGTTGCCGGCCTGCGGATCACCTCGGGGTGCGCGTGCGGGTGGTTAGCGTCGAGCGCATGCTTGCTCTCGCTCATCTGCTTCCGCTCATCTGCGGCAAAGCTGGATGCCTCGCGGCGGAGAGACGAGCACTCCTTCCGGCTCGCCAGCTGCAGCAGCACCACCGAGTGGCCTGCGATTAGTGCATCCTCCGCGGAGCTCGTCTGGCTGGCGCGAGCCGGGGAGATGAAGATCTCGTCCCAGCCAGGCCCGCTCGCTGCAGTGCGAGGCTCTGGACGGGCATTCGAGTGGCCGGATGCCCGGACGCCGACGGAGGCGGAGGCAGCGGCAGTGGCGGCGGCGGCCGCGGCGGCAGTGGCGGCAGCAGCGGTGGCGACTGCCTGTCTTGCGACATGGACCCGCGTGTGCATGGGCGCGATCAGCCGACGAACGACGAACGCGCGTGCGTCCTCCGCTGAAGCTGCGCCCTGGCGTGAGCCAGAACTCCCCCTCCGTCTGTAGACACTGATCACACATCCTAGTAGTGTCCCCAGCTATGGGCGTGTCCACGTTGGAGCCAGGTGTGGTGTGGGCGCGAGAATAGCTCCGCCGTTCATGGAGGCAACCGATGCGAGTCGACTGGTGTGTGTCGTCGTGGTTTCGTATCAAGAATAAATACTCACTCACACATCACACATCACACGGGTGGGACAGGGTGGGTCACAACGAAGCACGAGAGCGTGCTCGACAGAGCGACAGCGCAGCGCACTGCCGTCCAATCGGCGAAGGGGCGGCTGCTGCGCAAATGTCAGTTCTAATGAAGGTACTCGAGTACCAGGGCCCAACGGATGGATGAATCCGGACATGCCAGAAGAAAACGAACATGGATTCCCTATCATTGAAAGTAGCAGAGGGGTCGGACCACACGCTCTCCGAATGGGATTTTCTGCCCTGCCGCTGTCGCGGCCCCGCCTGCCTCCCGGAGGCCCGCCCGGCCATGCAATCCGCCGCCGGACCGCCCGGCGGGTCCAACCCGAAGCGGGCGACCGGCCGTTCGCACCGCTCGGCCGGCGGGGCGAGCCCCGCGGCCCTCGATCGCTCGCCCCGGGTCGTGGCCCGACCGGCCCACGCGCACGTCCTGGCCTCTACCGCCGCTTTCGGCGGCGCAATTTGCGCCTTCATCGCTCTATGGATCCTCCTGGCACCCATCGGACTCTTCCCGACGGTCGGCGGCGCCCACTCCGTGCACTTTGAGTCAGACTCGCTCTTCGGCAGGCACGCTCTTCGGCAAAAAGTCGCCGCCGGCTGTCCACGCCGAGCCAGCCACATGCCGGCTCGCACGGCAGCCTCTTCCTCTCGACCAGCCTCAACTTCGACACGGTCATCATTTTGTCGCTGCGTGCTCGTGGCGAGCCGGGCGGCGGTCAAAGTTTGCCCAGACGAGCGCCAGGCGATAGCAAGGTCTCTGTTCGCCCTGTGCATGTCAGGCCAGGCTGCAGCGGGGCACTACCATCGTGCTACGCTGTTGCAGCCTGACCTTTCCCACTGTGCACAGCCGCCAGAGCACCACCACCGCCCGGCATCGTGTCACGGCGAGCTCCTTCTGCACCCGTTCGCGAGGCTCTCGCGCTGGCACACTTCGGCCTTCCGCTGCTCGCGTTCGGCGAGCTCTTCTCCGCACTCCTGCCACGGTGCCGTCGCCACACACCTTCTGGCCGGCCTGAGCCATGCGGACTCGACCTCTCTCCCTCTCTGGAGCACGCCACGGGCCGCGACGGCTGCTGGCAGCCGGCCGGCGTGAGGAGGCAGTTTGCCGGCACAGTCGAGCTGGAGTATCCGCTTCTTGATGCTTCTGCGGTCAAGCTCGACCTTATGTGACATGATATGCCACAATAATGCACGCTCTCACCCCTCAAAGTGTCGAAGTTTACCGGTGACTCTCCGGTGGCCCGATAGTACCGTGTGCCTTTTTCTTCAAACGAACGCGCTTCGAGGTTCGACAATCGCTAAGCTGCTTATGGGGCACCGCTGCGACTCCCTTGGGGATGCCTGAGGCCACCCCAAGCACTCCCTAAGCCTTACGTGGACGATTTCAACCCTACTCTGTGTTTGTCTACGCACATTAGCAACTTTGTGCTCATGTCAACGCCACGCCAGTGCTAGCCCATTCAACCCCGCCCCATTGGGGGCGGGGCCCGTCAAGGGCCTCACTCTAGTGCTCTTTGACGATGGGGGGCAAAGGTTTACCGACGACCTCCTCGCAAAACGGCCGCGAAGCAGCCGTGAGCAGTGTGAAACGGAGTGGAAGAAAGCCTATGGGGAGTATGTGCGAGGGTAAGTGTGCCAGCGGCCCTCGAATTCGAGCCAACGCCCGGTTGACCAGATAGGCACGCGTTCACATTGATGCCCCCCACCAGCAGCTGAACCGCTCCCTAAGTCGTCGAAAGGAGCATGATGATCAGTCTCAACCACTTCGCTCGCTGCCCACTGTCCGCTCCCCTCCCACCCTCCCGCTTGAGCCGGGCCCCGTCGCGGGGCCCGCTCGTTCGTCCCACTCACTGCCACTCTGCCTAGAGGGGGAAAGGAAACGGGGAGTGAGAGGCCCCGCCACGAGAAGTGCGTTCTGGGGATGCAGAGCATGCAAGGCGGCTAGGGATGAGGCCGCAAAAAAGGCGCGTGAGACAAGGAGGAGAAACGGGGAAAGGAGGGACTGGGACGATTGGAAGCATGAAGACAGTGCGCCACCACAGGCGTCGGTGGCGCACATACTGAGCGGCAGCTGCGCTGGCAACAAAGTAGCGGCGCGCGACTTCATGCGGGAGCTTGACAAGCATGCGGCGAGAGCGACGGCAAGAGTCGAACGAACGGCACCGGACTAAAAGACACAGCCACATTTCTGAGACGCGCGAGGGCGGCCTCTTTAAAGGCGATAGGGTCTAAATTTGGAGCGCTCGCCGAAGAAGAGTACGACAAAATAGCGCCCGTGATCGCCTGCACCCTGCCCGCACTAACAGACTCCATACCCGAAAGAAAGAGAAAGGAGCTCGCAGGAGAGGTGACGAGGGAACTACAGGTAGTGGGGAATGCAGCCTCGATCGCCATACGGACATGGGTACGGAGCAATGACAAATCCAAGGCACGGGCGGAAGAGCGAGAGAAGAATATAGGGTGGATAGGGCGTATGTTCACAGCATGGAGGGTGAGCCACGCAGAACGTAGAGAAGAACGGGAAGCAGCCGGGGAAGACGACGATGAAGAGGACGACACACCAGTGGTGATCCCGTCGTCAGCTGTTACGACATACCCGAAGGGGACCCCAGTGCCGACGCCGTCTATAAAGGTACAAGTGATCGAAGAAAGCTGGAACTGCTGGTCGCCGTGGCCCAGCCTGCCAGAGAAACCACGGCCCCAGCTCCAGACGCTGCCGTCGGCGGCGAGGGCGAGGCTGTGGCTGCCTCCAGCCGACACAGCGACGACGCGCTGGCCCGTCAACGCCTCCACCTTCTGCGGCTGCCACTGGACCTGCGTGTCGATGTGGCCCAGCTTGCCATCGTATCCTTCGCCCCAGCTCCAGATGGCGCCGTCAGCGGCGAGGGCCAGGCTGTGGCTGCTTCCAGCCGACACACTGACGGCACGCTCGCCACCGAGCGGCGAAGGGAGGCGGGTCGGCGTGTTGAGCCGCGTCACGCCCTCGCCGTGGCCGAGAAGGCCTGAACGCTCCTCGTCCTCCTCCTCCTCGTCCTCCTCGCCCTCCGCTGCCGAACCGCACGAAGAGAGCCGCCCCTACCTAGACATCGAACACTACACCCGGTGGCCGGTCCGGATATCTCCAAGGAGCGGGCTGCGCCGGCTGCCGCCGGCCTCCGGAACCGCCTCCGGAAGCGGCGCTGCGCGCCGCTTCCGGAGGGGGGCCTTCCGGAGCGGGCTGCGCCCGCTCCCGGATTCCGGAGCTGCGCTCCGGAAATTTTCTCCTGCCCGCACGCAGAAGCGAAACGGCCACTTGGTGCGACGCTGCACAAGCCACACGCGCATCGTTGTGGCGCGGCATGGCGGAAGCTGAGCGCAACCCATTCCGCATGCCCACGGACGCGGAGGTCTTTGCGCTACGAGAGGAGGAGGTGCAGAAGAAGCGTGTTCAGAGGGAGGCGCGCAACCCTTCTGCCGCTCCTTCTCCGCCCGTGCTCTGCCAGTATGCTGCGGCCAAATTCCAACAGCCGCCTCCCTCAATGCTGTCAGAGACACCCATTGCCCGCGCCCGCCACGGCTACAGGCCTCGCTCAAGCTCAAGGTCTGGGAGAGGGGCGCCAAGCCGAAGCCGCCAGTTCGTGACTTTGAGGCCGCCTCCCCGCCCTCTAGACCCGTCTCGTGCAGCGCGCCGTGCAACTCAACGGCGCCCGGTGTCACCCGTTCACTCGCAAGCAGGCGCGACGCGCAGAGGCGGCAGCGCGCGAGGCGGCCAGCGCGAAGCCGACGCTCCACCTCGCGGCAGCTGCGCCTCGCGAGCGGAGGCAAGACAAGGAGAACATGGCCGAGTTTCTTGCCAAGAAGCGCGAGATGTTCCTCGTTCAGATGTCGCTGGACACCAAGCGCTCGGAAATTCTCAAGCTTGAGGCGCAGCCCCACACCTGTGGGCCACCAGACGCCAGCTCACGCGCGAGCGCCCTGCATTGGCGGGCTATGCCCACTGGCGGGTAGAATTTCAGCCTTCAACGCTGCCGGCTGCCGCCGCAGGAGCGGGCACGGCAGAGAGAGGAAGCTCTCAAGAAGTCAGAGTCGCTGCTAGAGGAAGACGCGCTACGCTTCGACCAGTTCCTCAAGGACAACGACGCAAAGGCGGTGGCGGCCATCAAAAAGGCGGAGGCGGAGACCAAGGCCAAGACAGACAAGATGATCGAGATCAGGCACCTGAACGGGGAGATTGCGCAGGTCAAGTCGGACACATCGAAGCTCGAGGAGCAGCTCGAGGACTGCAAGAGGTGCCCGGCCCGACGCTGCGGCGCACAGCGAGACAGACTCCCAGTCGCCGCCTCGCCACCGCTCAGGTACAAGGCGTTTCTGGACAAGCTGACGCCGACGGAGTGGTTTGAGGAGCAGCAAGAGGCGCAGCGTCAGCGCAGAGAGGACGCGTGGGCGGCCAAGGAGGAGGCACGGAGAGTGATGTGCTATGAGCGGGCCGCGGTGGACGCCGCCCAGCAGATCGACAGGGAGCGGGTACGCTCGCGCCCGACTCCCCTCCACCTCGAAAGCTCCACCCCAGCCCGCCTCTCCTCTTGGCTTCCGTCGCGAGACCCATCCCCACGCACGCCAGGCAGCCAAGGTCGAGGCGGACCGAAAGGCGGCGGGCAAGCGGCGCGCGCGGAAAAAGAGCGACGAGGAGCGGGCCGCCGAGGCGGCCGAGCGTGACGAGGCCGTCGCGGGGCGAGCGGAGCAGCTAACGCAGCGGTACATGAAGGAGGGCGAGGCAGCGGCGCGGGCCGCGGAGGGGCCGGAGGCGCGCTGGGAGGGGGGAACCGGGTTCGAGCCATCGGGGCGGTCCCGCTGGCTTGGGCCAGGGCGCCCACCGGTCCGCGTCGGCCTCCCCGCCTCGTAGGAGGAGGAGGAGGAGCTAATGTACTTTCAGGAGCCCCAGCAGCTGCTCGACCGCTTCACTGCGCTCGAAGAGTCCAACCTCTTCCTGATCCAAAACTCGCAGGAGACGGAGGAGGTTTGTGCACGCCCCCTCGCTTGCGTGGCATTGCTAGTAGCGCCCGGCCACGACCAGGTACGGGCGGGAAAGGCGTCCCGGCCCGAACCACACTCACCGACCCTTGATGCCACCGCGCCCTGCCACAGGCGCTCGAGGAGCTCAAGGTGAAGCTGCAAGTCGCGCAGGCCAAGATGGTGGACGACGCGGCTGGCCTACAGGGCCAGATCGACAGCTTGGCGGGCCAAGTGGCGGCGGAGGAGGAGAAGCGACGCGGCCTCGCCGAGAGGAGCGGCGCCGGCGGGGGCACGCAGGAGCAAACCTTGCACGAGCTCAACCAAAAGGTGGCGGAGGTGTACAAGGCCATCTTCTCCGAGAGCGACAACTCGCTCGGGACGCTGCAGATGCTGACCAACATCGAGTCGCGCCTGGAGGAGCTGCTCGCGGCCATCGACACGATGCCGCAAGATGAGGTGGAGGCGGCGCAGCGCCAAAAGGAGAAGGAGCGACGGGAGAGGGTGCGCAAGGTGAAGCAGGCGGAGGCGGCCAAGGCTGCGGAGGAGCGCATCCAGCGGGCCATCCGGCGCTCGCAGGAGCCGGTTGCGCGGCGCACGGGCAAGCCAATCATGTTCAGGTCGTACTTACCGCAGAGCAAGCCGAAGGAGGCTGTGGCGGAGAAGCTTGAGACGGGGCCGGAGAAACTTGAGACCGACCTCGATTTCTACTTGAACTTGCCGTGAGGCGGGGTACCGGAGACGCTGGCGGGAATGCCCTGAGTGATTTTTGCTTGGTGACGTGTGCACGAAAACGAAGTGCGTTTTCCAGACACCTCGCGCGCGCCTGCGCGCTCCCGGGCCGGACGGGGTGCTCTCCTCGTCTCCGCTCACTACGGCTCCGTGAGTCGTGTGTGGCGCGGGGGCTTTATCCGCCTCCCTGCCTCCCTGCACCCTGGGCAGGCCGGCGGCCCGGGGCAGTTTAAGCGGCCACTGGCGCTGCCAATAGAAGATAACCATACGCGCACAGGACTTCCCAGGAGGGCCCAGAAGGGGGCGACGGGCGAGAGGCTGGGCGGCCCGACCCTAGAGGGGCAGCACCCCGCCTCGCCACGCATGCTACAACGGTTGGGCGGCACCCTAGTACTCGACGCACAAGTCGGCGCGATCGATGTCCACGGAGAAGCGCGCGGACCGCAGCGCGGCGCGCGGGTCGCGCGCGCTGAGCGTGACCTCAGCCGGCACGTCTAGCGTCGCGCCGACCTGCCCGCAGCGAAGTTCGGGTGTGAGACGGGCGCGGCTTTGGCGCCGGCACTTGCACGCGCCGCCCGCGTCCCGCGCGCCTCGAGCCTGTGATGAACTAGTTAATCAGAAGTCGTTTCTCAATACACAGGAGGGGCGCGCGCCTCGAGTCTGAGCGGCGGGCTCCTCCCTCCTCCCTCCTACAGGCGAGGCTCCGAGACGGTGTTCGCGGCGCGCCGGCGCCCGTCCCTCCGCCGCCCGCCCGCTCGCCGCGGGGCTCTCTCGGTGCTATGCTCTCGGGTGCTCTCGGGCGATCTCCTCTCTGGCAACCTCTGGCAACCTCGTGCCGTCTCGCGCAATCTCACGCAGTCTCGCGCAGTCTCGCCTGCTCGCCGCCCAGCGGGAGGGAGAGCGGGACCGCGTGCACCAGGCTGAGGCCGCGCCTGCGACATGTGCATGTGCATGTGCGTGGCTGTGGCGTGCGCGAGGGAACATGTTGCATGCACATGCACATGTGCATGTGCATGACATGTGCATGTGCGTGGCTGTGGCGTGCGCGAGGTGCGAGTGCCGCAGTGCTAGCACAGTCCTAGAGCCGCGCCTGCTGAAGGCGCGACGGAGGCCCAGCCTGCGCAGGCGGGAGGGAGGGGATGCGAGCGGCGGTCGGCACAGGGCGGCGGGCGAACCGGGCGGAAGCTGTGCTCTCTCGCTCTTCTCTCCCTCTCCTCTGGTCGTTGTCGCTCTCGTCGCTCTCTCGCTGTGTGTGTGTGTGTGTGTGTACGCACGCGCGTGCGGTGTGTGGCTCACCGTAGCTCCGCGTCGGGCTTGCCCGTGCGGAGGTCGACGGCCGAGCACACCTCCACGCGCGTCGCCGCGTCGGCCAGGCCAGGCAGCAGCCACAGCCGGCTCCACCGCAGCGAGCGTCCGCTCAGCGCGATGGTGCCGCCAAGGAGAGGCTCGGCGCACTTGGCCTCGAAGCTGCAGCGGCCGGCCGAGTCTGCGCGGTGTGCGGGCGGAGCGCCGTCGGCCGCGTCTGCACGCGTGCTCATGCACACGCACGCTCTCTCTCTCTCTTCGCTTCTCTCTCTCTCTCGCACCGCAGCTCCCGCCGAGCAAGAGCCGGTTGCCCTTCGCCTGTAGCCGCTTCAAGACCTTGAGGCGCGGGCGAGCGCTCACCCGTGCGCGCAGCGAGGGCCCCTCCGAAAGCGCGGGGGCGGAGGGAGGCTCGGCGAGGCTCGCCGCGCTGGTGATCAGAGCCAGCAACATAAATGTGCTTGAAAGAATTCTTAAGCCGGCAGTCCGGGTTTTGCGAGACGGGTGTCGTCCGGCAAGATGGCATCACGCTCGCACCTGCCGACCGCCGCCACGGCGGCGAGACGCCTTCTCCGCCACCACGGCGCCGGCCACAGGCCAGCGCTAGGCAGCTGCCGGCCACACTGGGCCGGATTTGCCGGTAACCGTCGCCGCACACTCCTACGTCCACGCCGCTGTGACGTCTGGCGACGAGGCGCCGGCCGCCAAGCTTCATCGCCAACGTGGTCGCTCGCTGGTCCTCTCGGCTCGGCCACGCGTCGGACCAGCTCACACGAGCTCCAGACAGCCACCAGTCGCCACGCGCAAAGCGTACGGGTCGCCGGCTCCCTGTTGTGCTCTCACGCTGGCCGGCGTAAAACTGTACTGGCAGTTGTCATGCCGTACCCGTCGCGTTTCGAAAGGGAGCCCTCAATCGACGCGTCTACACGCACCGTGCCACCGCTCTCCACAACTGCTACCGTGGACATCAAGCTCCTCGACTCGATCTGCGGCTACGACGGCGCTCTAGCTGCTGGCTCTCGCGGGTGTCTGGCGACCCGCTCAGGCTTGCGAAACGGCCGCCCGCGGCGACGTGTTTCGAGCTCGCTGGCCTTCTCCGCGCGGCTGGGCCCGCCCCTAGTCGGGGCCGACCCGCCCAGTCACTGGGCAGCGCGTGCGCCGTCATCCTGGACGACGGTGTGCCGGTGCATCCGGGAGGCTCCGCGGGGCTGCTCTAGCAGCCTCGGGAGGGTCGAAAATCGAAGCCGGAGCGGCGGACCACGGAAGCTCCACGGACGGTGAGGCGGGCTGTGGTTGGCCCCCCCTGACCGGGTGAGGGAGTGGCGCCCCGGGAGTGCCGCTCCGGCGACGTCTGTGGCCTCCACGGTACCGTGACCGCGGTGCTCGCTCTCGCGGCCGTCTCGCGACCCGCTCGAGACGAAAACCGGAGCGGACGGTGCGACGAACCGCGAGTGGGATGGTCTGCTCCGCGCGGCTGGGCCCGCCCCTAGTCGGGGCCGACCCGCCCAGTCACTGGGCAGCGCGTGCGCCGGCGTTCTGGACGACGGTGTGCTGGTGCATCCGGGAGGCTTCGCGGGGCTGCTCTAGCAGCCTCGGGAGGGTCGAAAATCGAAGCCGGAGCGGCGGACCACGGAGGCTCCACGGACGGTGAGGCGGGCTGTGGTTGGCCCCCCCTGACCGGGTGAGGGAGTGGCGCCCCGGGAGTGCCGCTCCGGCGACGTCTGTGGCCTCCACGGTACCGTGACCGCGCCGGCCTCGCTCGGGAGGCTCTTTCGGAGCCGTCGGCCTCCGAAACCGTCGCGTTGCTGCGCCTGGACGGCTTCGATGCTCGCCAAACCCGTCGGCACCGTTCATATACACATGAATTGTGAGTGAACGCGCATTTTTTGGCGATTTCATTCGCATATGCCGAAATGTTAGTTTCGATCTAGTCCTCACGGACACAAAACAGAGGCCTCCTAGCACGGAGAAGCGACTAAGAGTCGCCGACGTGCGAATGAAATCGCCGAAAAATACGCCCGGAATCACAATTGATCCCGTCGACAAGGCGCCCCAATCGCGGAGGTCTGGCGCGGGCGTGGAGGCGAGCATCGACGCCTCGACGGTTGCTCTTCAGAGGCCGTAAACAGGCGCCTGAAAAAGGAGAGAACGCGAGACTGATCACGCGCGCGGAAAAGCCCGAGGGGCGAATCTAAAGTGCCGAGGCGCTTGCTAATCACCCCAGCTAGGGCCACGGAGGCGCTCGCGGCAGGTCTCCGCGCGCGCGCTGGCCGGTGGCAGCTGATCTCGGGCGGCGGGCGGCGGGAATGGGCTCGGGCGGCACCTTTTGCCCTCAAAAGTCGTTCGAGAGTACCGGGTCGCGGCGGGAACGCGCCCATCCGCTCGATGGGTGTCAGGAGTCGATCGCCTGCGCCAGGAGCGAGCACGGGAGTCGTCGCGATGGGAGTCGTAGCGGCGTGGCGCTCGGCTTCGAGAGAGCGACGTGGGCGCGGCGGCGCGGGCGGCCGGTGGGGCGCGTGAGGTCCGCACCTTCGCGACGGGCAGGCTCGATACGGCCGCTGGCCGGGGCGGCCGCTCGACCGGCCGCCGCGGTCGTTCCGGCGGCGGCGTCGGCGTCGGCGTCGCGAGCGAACTGGCTCGCATTCGACGAGCGACCCTCTTCACAGAACCCGGACTGCCACCTTAAAGGCCAATTCTGTTGAAAGTCCTGTGCCCCCGAGTTCATTGAAAAAACTTTGGTGAAAGAATTTCGTAACCAAGTTCTGGCAGGGGGGGGGGGCGTGAAAAGCAAAACAGAAAGGCTATTCCCTTCGAAATCGGAAAGAAATCCACCGAAGAGATGCCTGACGCCGCTGCGGCTCGCAAGAATGCAGGCCAATGAACACCCCGTCAACTTCGTCCGCCGCGTCTTCTCTCTCGTCTTCGAGGGCGACTCGCTCTCCAAAGCTGTGCGTGGCGTCCGAGACTTCTTCGCGTTCGATTTCGTTCTTGACTCTGATGGGCGCAGCCTCAACCGATCTGACTTCGAGGCGACGCTCCTGGCCCAGCGATCACGGGTCGTGGCTCCGCCTCGCATCGCATTCTCGCGGCTGTGCGCCACACGACGGCCGCATCACTGTGACGTCGGTCCACACTTCACACTCCGCCTCCGGTCTGGCTCTGTTTGCCAGCGCGGGATTGCAGTCCTCGAGATTGACGTGGCGAGCGGGCGATTGCACTCCTCGAGATTGACGTGGCGAGCGCACTGCTCGTCCGCTGCGATGAGTTGACGCGGATGGAGTGCCCGGACCAAGCCAAGGCGGCGCCTTAACAGAAGCTTGCGCCGCCGCCGCCGCCGCCGCACGCCGCCGCCGCCGCCGCCGCCGCCGCACGCCACGGCGCACGTGCACGCGCGGTCCCAGCAGAACCCGAAGTACCCGCCGCGCTTCCCGGTCGAGGACGCAAAGGTGAGCTGGAAGGTGCCCTGGCCAGAGTACTCGCCGGTGCCCTTCGTGGCCCCCTCGGTGCTCGCGGCCGAGCGGAGCGACACCAACCCGAACGGCTGGGCCGACAGCCCGCGGCCGAACCTCGCGGAGCTCAAGCACCGCCTCTCGTGCGAGGGCCCCCTCTTCTTCGACGCGGACCAGCGGCCAGTCAACCCGCGCGGCCGCACCGGCGTGTGCGGGCGGGGCATGCTCGGCAAGTGGGGGCCCAACCGGGCCGCCGACCCGATCGTGACGCGCTGGAAGCCCGGCGACAAGCGGAAGCTGCAGATTGTCGCCATCCAGCGCGGCGACACGGGCGTCTGGGCGCTGCCGGGCGGGATGGTGGACGCGGGCGAGGTTGTGTCGGTGACGGTGCGGCGCGAGTTCGCCGAGGAGGCGGGCAACATGGCCTCCGACGCCGAGCGCGCCGCCTTCAACGCGGCCGTCGACGAGCTGTTTGCCACGGCGAGGTGGTGTACCGCGGCTACGTCGACGACCCGCGCAACACGGACAACGCGTGGATGGAGACGACGGCGTTCCACTTCCACTGCA